TGGAAATCCTTTAAACACTGAAGGAAATGCATCTTCTTTTAGCCATCCCTTGCTGGCACCTGGTCGTATTTGATAATCCGTAGCAAGAAAATGATCACTACATAGAAAACTATACTTTGTTGGCTTAAAATTTTTCCTGCGTACTTCCTTTATCCATTTTTTTAAAACTCCAGGCTTATTTAATGGAAATCTGGAACATTTATACATATATTATAATATTACCACAAACCTGAATCTAAAAATTGAAATTGTAAACCACTTCCTGTTGATTGTCTATTTGTACATCCGTATGCAGAACAAGAATTTACCATCTTTATAGATTTATATAATACACTAATTTAAACACAATATTAAAAAGTTTATAAAAAAATGTATTTAATGCAATCTTTATTCACTTAAACAACACGTTAACACCTATATATTACATACGGAACTGAAGCTTCTTGCCGTTATAGGGTGGGGGAAGTCGTCAAGTCGACCGGCTCGTTTTTTAGTCCAAAGCACGCACTCCAGTAAATATAGTATATCTCGATGCTCTCACTTAAATTCGCTTCTCCCAACATAACAACAAAAAATAACGTTCGTACGTTACCCTTCGGCAGGGCTCGGCTCGGCACAACGTAAAATGATCTCATCGAGAGAAAAGTACCGAAGTAACACAAAGTATTGAGCGAACAGAGATTACTTTTCATAAACGTTTACTTCAATAAACAATTTTTACATTTTTTCAAAAATTTTCTGTTATAAGGGTATTAAAATTTTACGTCATCGTAAAGAGAAAACAAATCTCTATCAAATGAGCCCAACGAACATTGCCGTTTAAAAAACTTCAAGTGTTATTCGTTGCTCATTTGTTTTCTGAAATAAAAACAATTGAATGCTGTCTTATTATGGCAAACAAAATATTAAACAACTTTTGTATAAAATGTTTTTTTATAAAGTTGATACCTATCCAGATATATACTATATTCCATACATAATGGGCATCCTGTATAATTCTGCCTTATTATTTGTTTCATTTTGAACCAATTTGTGGGCTTTTTTTAATGATATAAAATACCAGTTGTTTTTAAACTATTCATATCTTTAAAAACGGTGTCGATAGATTTCAATACATCAGTTTTATATTTTCCTGATCCTCACTACAATTAGAAATTGCTCTTTAAGCACGCTTTTGTAGCTCTTTTATAATTGCTATGGTTAGATGTTTTCGTCCATTTATATTGATGGAGGTGTCCGTTTTTATTTTATGTAATGATTTATCATAATTTTTTATCGCTTGGTTTGTGCATTCTATCTTTTCGACAGCACCCCCATACGACACTTTTTTTGTATTTGATAAAATACGCTTGAATCCCCATCAGCTATAAACTTCAAATACTTCAAGCCATGCATTTCGTTGCTTTTCGAAAACCCTTCTACAATAATATCCGCTTCCATAGCTGACGAAGACCCTTGCCAATTTTTGAAATAATTGTGGGCGGACGCAATATTATTTTTATTTTGTGCTCGCTCACAAATTGAACAATATTTGTTTCGAACACTCAAGAATAATAGTTGGCCCGAAAGATATGGCTACTATAATAAAAAATAAGGTATCCCTGTTAACGTATGCCCTATATTATTATATAAATAGTAATTAAAAAATCACCAGCAATAAAACTAAAAGATGCACTATGAAAGTATATAACAGCAACAATAATAACAATAAAACTATAACAAATAACAGTTCACCAAAAGAAAATTACGATATAACAAGACTACTAAGGCTTTATGCATGCTTGCTGTGATCGTATTCGACAACGAATGAAGTCTTAGGCCTTCTACACACGGAACTGCTCGTCATAGACGAGTATTACATATGGCGACGAAGTGTTGGGATTTCGTCTAAAACATGGAAGCTGCAAGTCGCCTGGCAAACAACAGCATCTGGTGCTTGGCGTAGAGGATGGAAATGGAAGTAAAAATGAAAGTGATCAAATGATGCAATTTGTTCAAACAGTCTAGAAAAGATCTAGCCGACAGAGCTTGTTATGCAATAGGCCAACCAATGAAATCGTTTGGAGGATCTGTTAAAGATGGCAAAGTAGTTGGTTGGATGGCAATATTATTGCTTTCCAACCAGCGACCAAATGTGGAAACCAAAATGATGCCTCCATCACTATTACGTCCAGCATATCCGCACTCTATTGTTGAGAACAGACCATCAGCAACACAACAACCAAACAAAATAACAGATTGATAGTTTTTACGATTAAAGTTGGTGAATCTGGAATTTCGATATTTCTGAATGCAGATATGTTTACAGTCAATTATATCTAAACAATTTGGCAAGTGCCACACGTATTTGTTATTTGTTTCCATCTTTCCTTATTTGATAATATCATATATGGCTCGACTCAATCAACTTCAATCAAATTCCAATGAATAAAACTGAATAATATAATAAATAAATACATTTTAAAATTGATTGTTTGCAGATCCTGAGGCGTATAATAAGCTTCGGTGCATGACGCTTATTAAACGCGTCTATGACGAGTATTACCGTCTACAGAAGACCTTATGAACGAGCATTACATAAAAAATAGTCTCACATCGTTTATTTGATTTCCAAGAACGCTCCAAAAACTATTAGAAAATTTACAAAATTATATTTAAAAGAATTTTTTAATGATTTTTATTAATTTGAAACAATTTATAAGATTTTT